AAGAATTCGTCATCATTTGGTTGTAGAGACCACTTACTACTTTTTGAGCTTCTGTTTTTTTTTAAGAGGTGAAAAGGCAAGAGACGATCCAAAAATACTTAAAAGGAAAAGGCAGCGAACTTTAAAATTTTAATTCCAACACTGCATTACTACCAAGAACTCTCTCTTAATTTGTCTATGTGAATAAGGATGTACCATTTGATGTTGGTAAATTTTCAGTGTTTTGTTTGCTTGTTTGGAACAAGGTCTTGCTTTGTAGCCCAGGCTGGCCTAGAATTTGCTATGTAGCCTAGGCTGATCTTGCACTTGAGATCCTCCTGATTCAATGTCTTGAGTACCTGGATTATAGATGTGAGCCACCATGCCTGGCTCATTACCACCCCCCCCACCTTTAGATACTAAGGAAACAATGCCTCAGTCAGGTATAGTGGGTCACACCTATAATATTAGCATTTAGGGGGAATATGTAAGGAGAATTTGAGTTTGAGGTCAGCCTAGGCTGTTCACATACTAAGACCGTATCTTGACAGACAAAAGGAAAAGGAGAAGGAAGAAGAGAGGAACAGGCAGAGAGACACAGCATGATGGGGAGGGGGGTGGGGGTGTGATGTTTAAGTCTGTCTCTGCTTCTGTACAAAGTAATGGAGGAATAGAAGGCAGGTAAGTTTAACTTTTCTTTTCTGACAAGTACTTGAAAAACCAGTTGCTCCTGAGAGGTAAGTTCACAGAAAGGATAATCTTACTCCTTTGTATTACTATCAATGATGCTGATGAATTATTGCCATCTCTTTTCCTTTGAGGTGAGGACTTGCTATGTTATCCAGGATGGTCTCAAATTCATGGACTGAATGGATCCTCTGGCTTTCCCCCTTTCTTTCTTACCAATCACAGGGCATATGAAAATACAACACAAATCACAAATCCCACAGTAATTTTAAATTTCCTAGTAGCAATATTGAAAACATGAAATATTTTATATTTGAGTTACATAAAACATAACTACACATAAAATATTAGCAATTCAACATGTAGTCAACATAAAAATGTTAATTAGATGCTTTACAGTTTCTTTTTCATATTAAATTTTCAACACCTGGTGGGTATTTCACACTTAAGAGTGCATTTCAGTTTGGACTAACGACACGTCAAGTGTTCACAGCCACATGTACTTACTTGGCTGTTGCACTGAACAACCAAAGTCTATGGTGAATCTCTGAAAGTGAGGCTTTAAAACTAAGTAACACAGACTCAAAAAAAAAAAAAAAATCGACATATGTTCTCCCTCATATGTGGCTCCTAGAACCAGACTCTGATAAATAAGTATGCAACCAGACATAACTACAGGAACCAGGATAATGGAAAGGAAACAGGGAGGTAAGACACCTTAAGTGGGAAAACCATGATGGAGGGGTGAGACAATGCGAGAGATAAACAATGCCTAGCTAGTTTTGAAAACCAGAGGGAACCATGTTATTCCCAAAACCTACTGACAAATTATACATAGCAGATGAAGAAATATACGTCTAGGTAAGGTTTATCTGAGAACAACTGGTCTTTGCCCAAGATTTATCTAACATGGCACGTAGTAACTAAAAGTACGAGACTGTTGGAACTAACCTTCTTGGATGTTTAACAGCCATACTTTGAGGCATATACTAATTTGGTGAGAGGGACATAAAGGACAGTTTTTGCTCCTTGCCCTCCTAGGTCGACTAGTTCCAAGGGACTATGAGCATCTCTCAAAATGTCCTGTAATTGTGGTGGGTCACCTGTCCTCTTGATCAAGGAAGCTGAGGAGACCCCATGAGATAGACTTGAACCAGCGTCCAGTCTACAAAGAGGAAGGTCAACACCAAGGAATCATTTCCTCCCTGCTTCCAAGCAAAGCCAACCATGGTCAGGCAGAACCTTTGACTTACTTATCTTCACAAACTGGTAAAAGAAAGCAGCCAGGGGCTCCTCCCAAGTCCATGTGACCCCTGAGGAACAGATCCTCAA